CAGGGGCACAAACGCCAGGTAGGCAAGAAGCGCAAACAGAAGGATGAAGTAGTTTTTCAAGTATGACAAACGAGTTCTGTTTGGAGGCGTCCATGTGCACGTGGGTACACAGCTGTTGACACGTGTGAGCAGGTGTGTGTGTGTGTGTGCAAAGCCCAACGCGCGCCACAAGAGGGACCTCAGGGCTCTGGCCCAGGAGTCACCAAGGAAGGTCACTGGGCAGGAATCTGCGTTCTGTGGCTCCTGCCACCCCACCCACCAACTCCTCCGGCCAGGGCCTGGCCACACCTATGAGGTCGGTGCATTCGTCCTATTCTAATGGAAAGAGCCAATATATGAAATTATAAATAAACTGTGTGGGCGAGGTGGGCACACCGGTCAGCCCACCACCGCTCAGTAGGCTGAGGCAGGAGGATCGCCAAATTTAAGCCCAGCCTGGGCTACCTTGCACCTTAGCGAGACGCTGACACAAAATAAAAAGGACAGAGGATGTAGCTCAGTGCTGAGGAACCAGGTTCGGTCTCCAGCAGTTACAGAAACGGGGGCGCAGCACAGCCGACTCCTGGACGTGCACTCACCGTGCTCACGGGGGCTCCTAAATCCCACCCGACTGCTAAGGCATGCACGGAAAGGTCCGTCGAGGCGACCCTCTCCCCGCGGCCTCAGAGCCGAGTCCCAGGCCCTGCTCCAGACTGCAGCACGGAGTGCCAGTGCCCGAAGAGCTGTGGGCAGCTCGGGCCCACTCTCGCCCGGCTCCCAGTGGCCTGGCAGGCCTTCCTGCCTGTGCTTCTGCGAGCCCTGAAAGCCACTTTCCCCGAAATGGCTTCAGGGCTGCCTCACAGCCGGAGCCGCAGCCAAAGGAGCTTTCACTTTCTCTTTCCTGCAGGCTTCCCACTGCACCCCCGCCAGCCGCCTGAGCATGACCAAGTGGCTCTGAACCCCAGGAACCTGGGACCCTGGTTTACAAAGCAAAGGGACAGAGGGGCAAGGGCAGGGATGGGGGAAGGGAAGGCGCTCCACCTCCAGGTGCCACTCGGACAGCTGCTCAGCTCACACAGGGACGCAGACTTGGGTGGGAAGCGCAGCTCACAGCCCTCTGGCCACTCTGTGACACCCAGCAGGCCGCAGCGGGCAACCTCGTCTCCTGGGGACTCCCGAGGCAGAGGCCGGAGCCTCTCTGGCCGGCCTGGGAGCTGGGGATGCAGCAGCCCTGCCGGCAGGCCTGGATTCGGGTCACTCCTCCAACGCTGCCTGCGCTTTCTGTGCGACCACAACTCTAAGGCACCAGCTCGTCCCCCGGGGAGGAGTGTGGGGCACACACCTGCGATCCCAGGTCTCTGGAGGCTGATGGGAGGAGGCCAAGTTCAAGCCCAGCCCAGGCAGCTTAACCAGATCCTGCCTCAGCGAAGGGCTCGGGGCCAAGGTTCAGTGTGCAGGCTCTGAGTTCAAGTGCTGGTGACAGGGAGAAGGAAAAATGAAAACAAAGCCTCTTATCATGTTGAATAGCACTTAAAATTCAGTGCTGGGACGAGTCACGGATTTTGCAAGAGGCGGAGACAAGTGCTCAGGAGAGCAGGATGCACCGTCACCAGCTGTCTTTCCTGGGGCAGCCTCTAAGAGGACCCCCGTGAATCCCGTCTCCTCATGGCTCAGAACCTCCTGACTCCTCTCTCCTTCCTCTGGGTCATTCACAGCTGCTCGGAATCCTAACTCAAGTCAGCAGCACACAGGACTCCCAAGGCGAGAACAGAGCTCCCTAGCTCAGGCTGCCAGCCACCTGGCAAAGCACAGGCCCGCATCCTCAGC